CTGGGTGAACAAATTACAGGACCAAGAAATACCACACAATACCATACAATACCACCCTGGTACGGGGTGGTATTGTATGGTATCTTCTTCGTTTTTAATTCGTTTTTGAAAACGTTTGCACAGAAGGGACGAGTTCATCATGATATATTGGATCTACAAATTTCTGGGTGAACAAATTACAGGACCAAAAAATACCACACAATACCATACAATACCACCCTGGTACGGGGTGGTATTGTGTGGTATACAATGTTAAAAGTCGTAAATTACAATTAATATACTTCTACTATCATGTATTCAACCATCCTACAGTATTGGTTTGTTCATACCACCATGGTACGTTTTTCAAAACATAGGTATGCTTTTATTTCAATACCAGTCAATACCATATGGTATAGGCTGGTAAAAAATGGCTCAATTTTTTTTTGTTTGAAAAATATATTAAAGTGGATATCATTTTGAAGAGCATAATTAATCTGATCTAACTGTGCAAAAAAAATTAAATTTCGACTTAAAATGAGCGAGAAATCGTCCGTCAAAGATTAAAGAGGGAAAAATTAAAGGCTTTCCATGAGAGAGAGGATGCTGATGTCATGCTGATGTGGACAGGTTACTTATGATTAGTCACCATAAGGTTACTGACCTGATCCATTCCCTTGACCACCGGCGAGGTAACTGCAAGGTAATTTATTTATAGTTGTTGATTATGTTTTGCTTTAGGAGGTGGAAAATTAAAGTGTTTAGCAAGTACCATTACATATATATATTAATCATGTTTTCGACTTTTCGTACGTACTGCGACATGGACAGTAGGGTGCCTGGCTTTTATGGTGACTTTTCTATTACCATCGTGTTTGGATCAGATCAGGGCAGTATCCTTTCTATTATTAAATGTCGGTAATTTAATCATCTCTTCCCACTTGTCAGTTTTTTCCTTTTATTTACATTAAACACGGAGGGACAATAAGATAAATTGCACCCCCTATTTAATATTGACACTGACGCTCCGATGCTAACTTTTTGATCAGACGCGAATCTCACTCCCCCACCCCACACTGGTTCCCCACTCTCACTCTTTGTTTATTTTATTATTAAAAGAAAAGATACATTATTTCTTCTCTCTCCCATCTACAACAAAAATGAATCTAACTATCCTAGCTATCTCTGTTCTAATTCCAACTCAAATTTAATGATGATTTTTTCGTTAAATAATTCAGTGCTAAAGACACTAATTACAAGTATAAATATGATTATCACTTTTTACTATCATGGTAAAACATGGTAAAATATATCGAAGAAAATTAAAAATCTAACTACCATACAATACCACGTGGTAAAACGTGGTAAAACATGGTAAAATATGTTGAAGAAAATTACAAATCTAACTACCATACAATACCACATGGTATATCGTGGTAAAACATGTTACAGAAATTTACAAATCTAATTACCATACCATACCATATGGTATAACATGCTAGAATAAAATTACAAATCAAACTACCACCACATAGTATAACTTGGTAAACCACGCTACAGAACATTATAAATCTAACTAGCATACAATACCACCATAGTAGAACATGGTAAATCGAAGGACCACAAATTAATTATAATTACCATATAATACCACATGGTATGAGAAGGTAAAACCATATAAATCTAATTACAATCCTCTACAACCATAGTAAAAACATGATATTCATAAAAATACATTTCGTTGCCACACATTACCATATGGTATAATGTGGTAATCTCAATATATATATATATATAATTACAACTTTCTTCACTTTCTTCTCTCCCTTCATTGTTTTATAACTCTTCTTTCTCGGAACTAGTGTTGATTACCACCTACTACCACCATGATAAAACTCGTGACTCTAAAAATATATTTACTTAGCACACATTACCATATAGTGTAGTGTGGTAATATGAATATATATTCTCAAAGAAGGAGGAAAACAGAAGGAGTGTCTCCTCTCATTTACTCCTCTGCAATCAAGAACACCAAATGCAAAAAGAAAGAAATAAGATGAGGAAGATCGGAATTGAAAATTCACAAACAAATACTAAAACACAAAAAGATGCAAACTTGATTAACCTAGATATGTCCCCTCTTTGACAATATGGAGCGTCATCGATTTTGAGGCCGAGAAAAGAAAAAACAGAAGGAAGGAGCATCTTGAGAGAAGAAGGATTTGGAGCGTCACCGGATTTGAGGTGGGAGGCTGCAATTTCTTCGTCGTTTGTTGGAGAAAAAAAATGAAGAACAAGAGAAGAAAGGAGATTTAGATATGGAAAAAGGAGTTTGGAACTTGGAAGAGAGAAAGAGAAAAGAGAGGCGAAGAGAGAAGTCTGTTTTTCTCTTTCCTCCATTAAAAGACAGCATATAAATGCTGGGGGAAAAAAAGGAAAGAAATCAAATTTCAAAAATCGGACAAAAATGTCCCTCCTCACTCCGCGTGCAGCCCATACATATGATGATTCCGTCCCTAGATCTACGGTCCTGGTTTAGTTACTGACTCTATCCTAGGCCGTGAGTTTGGAAGAAGCTAACAAGTTGATGACCTATCTGAATACTACCAGGTGTTATAAACGCGCTGCTACGGATCGGGAAATCGCCGGAATCGAGAAAGCAAGAATATGAAACCGAGAATCGAAAACACGACACACGATTTATGTGGTTCACTAACATGATGTGCGTTAGCTAGTCCACGGGCGAGAGAGAGTCAGTTTCACTATATCGAGGAGATTACAGATTATAGAGGAGATGCAAAGTATTTATACTTCTCCATATGGGTTTAAACCTAATCCAATATGGCAAAGGAAACGGTTATAGACCAGGCCCAAAAACCCGAACCCAAATAACATTGAACTCATACACCGCCGGCTGATAGTCCGATTTAAGTCACATCAACATCGGGTAATTAGAATTATTAAACCATAAGTACTAAAAAATTACCAAAAAAGCGAGGTTACTGTTCCTTAAGAAAAAATCGGAATATACTGTTCACCGTGGGATTTTATGATATGTAAACCCACGTTCAGTACATTGGGCTAAACAAATATAGCCGTTGATTGCAATAAAAAAGCTACACCTCATCCGTACCACCTCTTTTCTACGTTCAGTTTCTTTCCCATCCAGACACTGAGACACATCAAACTACTTCCCTCTCTCCTCCCTCACTCTTCCCTATATTCCAAGCAAACCCCACAACCAATCACTATCATCATTCTCACTGCATCAGCCACCTCCATCTCCTATCTCCCTCTCTCTCACACACACAGCATCAGGCCGCCTCCATCTCATCTCTCTCTCTCCTGATCATGTTCACCAAATTATATATAGTCATATAACTAATTCCCACATCACACTTAGTTGGGATACAGAGACGGAGAGTCACACTTTCCTTTCTTTCCTCCCTTTGCCAAACAGGTCCCTCTCCTTTTTCTTAACCTTGGCTCCATCCACTAATTTCACTATCGGTATCTAGCTAATGCAATAGAGGATTTTTGGGATGATTGAAAGAGAGACAAACAATTGGGTGGCGGGAAAAGTACAAGGAAAGACATGCAGCTGAGTGTGGAGCTAGATGTTAAGAAGGTGGATCCCGGGATCTATTATGGATCGGAAGAAAAATTGATAAATTAGTTATAGTAAATAATTGAGAATAAATTTAAGAGATTCATGAGATTAGTAGTTTGAAATTATAATAGTGAAATAGCCCATGAATCATTGTCAACTAAAATTTGTATGAATTGGTTCAGATATATGATTGCAACAATATGATCGACATACACGATTTAGATTTTTCATGGCTAAACATTTTATATGGTACGATACTTTATGAATACTGCTCAGATATGGGCCTTCTTGGTTATCGTGTTTGAAAGTATTTAAACTAACTTCAATTCGTCAAATATGAAATTAAATTTCAGATTCGTAATTATCCAAACAACATAAGTAATTGAACAAACTTGATCATGATTTCGTATTACAATTTTTCATGGCTAAAGGTCAAATTCTGAAATTCCAACAACTCCTAATGGTGACGTATGATTTAAGTACATTCTAAGACAAAGTCATGCAACTTCTAACTCACCAAATATATAATGATTTTTTATTATTGTATCCTGCCTTTTGTTATCGTACTTCCTTTTTTTATACAAGGGTGAACGGTTTCATTCAAACACATAAGATAACTTAAAAAAAAAAATTCAACATCTAGGTCAAACAAGAAAATGACACTCGAATCACAAGGCTTGCTCTAATTTCAAATTACTTTTTTAGGTTTACTCATATTCAGTTGAGAGCGTTTTAGGTTAATGAATGAATTTAGCATGTGATTATTCCAAATGTGAGAAAAGTTTGTTTGGCCTTTTAAAATTAATTAGAGGCTACATTAGTACGATATCACGGGCTAATCCAAGAAGCGGCTCTAATTGTTTGGGATGAAGCTCCAATGACACATCGATTTGCTTTCGAAGCTCTTGATCGAACATTTTGTGACATCATGAACATTCCCATAAGCGGAGAGGGATATAAGCCTTTTGGAGGAAAGTGCATTCTTCTTGGCGGTGATTTCAGACAAACATTGCCTGTTGTGGTCGATGGAGGGCGGGAAGAAAGTATCGATTCTTCTCTAACAAGATCACACCTTTGGCAGCATTTTAAGGTCTTGCCTTTCAAAGTTAACATGCGAATCAATACAAACCCAAACAACCTTCTACGTGTCTATGATGGGAAATTTTTTGAAGATTGGGTTTGGGCTGTTGGAGATGGAGCAATCAAGTGCACAACATTCAACTCATCGACTGCCACAGATTGGATACAATTACCAGATAAGTTCCTCATCCCACATACAGGAAATAGAATTAAGGCAATTACTGATGTTGTATATGAGGATTTTGATCATAATTTCCAGGATATCAACTACATCAATACTCGAGCCATAGTCACGCCAACAAATCGAGTAGTTTCGGAGATCAATGACTATATGTTGGCTAAAGTCAAGGGAGAAGCAAAGATATACTACAGTTCAGATTCGATAGAGGATGATACGATAAACAGCAGCAGGTGGGAAGAGGAGTACCCAACTGAATTCCTAAATAGCTTATCGTTCAATGGTGTACCTGAACATGAACTGCAATTGAAAGTCTCCACTCCAGTCATCCTTCTTCGAAATCTGAATCCATCAATTGGCCTGTGTAATGGAACAAGGATCATGATTACACATTTGGGAGAACATGTCATCGGAGGTAATATCATTGGAGGATCGTACGACAGGACGCCGGTTGCTATTCCTAGGATTGTGCTCAATATCACTGAGCATCGTTGGCCTTTTACCTTGAAGAGGAGACAGTTCCCAATCAGAGTGTGCTATGCAATGACAATAAACAAGAGTCAGGGACAAAGTCTTGATATAGTGGGGGTTTACCTAACTAAGCCGGTGTTCAGTCATGGACAATTGTACGTAGCAGTTTCCCGAGTACGATCAGCTGACGGCTTGCATATACTGATTGACAACGATGGCGAAGTTCCACAATCATATACTAGAAATATAGTATATCACGAGACATTTGCTGATGTGCACACAGCACAAACATCACACACAGGTAAATAAGTTTAAATAGCCTATAATTATTTCTCACCCTCCCTTACATTCATTCACCAAGCAATCTGCTTATAAATGTTACAGATGACATGGACACCGACAGTGAGCAGTTCAGGCAGCATGATATATAAGAAGGGACTCCTTTCATACTCTTTCACAGGTAACCACATTTTGCCGAACATTACTGATAGTGAAATACTTTATACCCCAAAACCACAAGACGTATAATTAGAAATGGGTTAGCAACTCAAGTTTTTTTTTATAATTTATCACTATAATGATTTTTTATGATTAACGTGATATTAATTTAGCGTTGGGTTCTAATCAAGTTGCACTTCCTTTTCGTTTTCCAGATCACTATATTGGATGCACCACAACAACTATCGGTGAGCTCTCCACTAAAGGAACTTCAATACGCTACAAATGATAATGTCAACCAAGTTATCGACATGCCAAGACCATTGTCATTTTTTTTTTTGAAATTTCATTATATCTCATTGTAATATTTTACCAATAAACACACGCATGATCAAATTATATTATTCGACATTAACAACAGAGTAAACGAATTACAGATCAAATCCCGTTGCGTAGCACGGGCTAATTCTCTAGTTAATTATTAATTAGAAACCGATAGACCATTATAATTAAGAAACTGAAAGTTCTTCAATTTATTTAAATTATGCAGGACGTTTGGGCACCAGAAGCCAGCTCGAGAAGTGGCCTTCTTCTCTTCAAGGGGGCCATCCATGGTCTCGGGAAACATAATCAAGGCAAGTTTCATTTTATTTAATTTCTTTTCATTTGAGCCCTTCTAGTGTTCTATAGCACCCATGCTATAAAAAAAAAAAAAAAAGGTGACCTATTGAGGAGGTAAACCCACTAAATGACTGGTCCCACATCATTAATGGCAATCTTGTAAATAATGAATCAATGTATACAAGTGTAGGTACAACTTAAAGTTGTACCATTAGTATAGGTACAAGTTTCAGCTGTACCATTGAAGAATTTGTTTCACAAAGTGTAGGTACAACTTAAAGTTGTACCATTAGTATAGGTACAATTTTGAGTTGTACCATGAAGGGATTTATTAGAAAGTGTAGGTACAACTTAAAATTGTACCATGTTATAGGTACAAGTTTGGGTTGTACCATTAAAGAATTTTGAGAAAGTGTAGGTACAACTTAAGGTTGTACCATTAGTATAGGTACAATTTTTAGTTGTACCATAAGGGATTTGTTAGAAAGTGTAGGTACAACTTAAATTTGTACCATGGTATAGGTACAATTTTGGGTTGTACCATAGAAGGATTTTTAGAAAGTGTAGGTACAACTTAAAGTTGTACCATTAGTATAGGTACAATTTTGAGTTGTACCATAAAGAGATTTATTAGAAAGTGTAGGTACAACTTAAAGTTGTACCATTAGTATAGGTACAATTTTGAGTTGTACCATAAAGGGATTTATTAGAAAGTGTAGGTACAACTTAAATTTGTACCATTAGTATAGGTACAATTTTGAGTTGTACCATAAAAGAATTTTGAGAAAGTGTAGGTACAACTTAAAATTGTACCATATTATAGGTACAAGTTTGGGTTGTACCATAGAAGGATTTTGAGAAAGTGTAGGTACAACTTAAGGTTGTACCATTAGTATAGGTACAATTTTTAGTTGTACCATAAAGGGATTTGTTAGAAAGTGTAGGTACAACTTAAGGTTGTACCATTCGTATAGGTACAATTTTTAGTTGTACCTTAAAGGGATTTGTTAGAAAGTGTAGGTACAACATAAAGTTGTACCATAGTATAGGTACAAGTTTGGGTTGTACCATAGAAGGATTTTGAAAAAGTGTAGGTACAACTTAAGGTTGTACCATTAGTATAGGTACAATTTTGAGTTGTACCATAAAGGGATTTATTAGAAAGTGTAGGTACAACTTAAAGTTGTACCATTAGTATAGGTACAATTTTGAGTTGTACCATAAAGGGATTTATTAGAAAGTGTAGGTACAACTAAAAGTTGTACCATTAGTATAGGTACAATTTTGAGTTGTACCATAAAAGAATTTTGAGAAAGTGTAGGTACAACTTAAGGTTGTACCATTAGTATAGGTACAAGTTTGGGTTGTACCATAGAAGGATTTTGAAAAAGTGTAGGTACAACTTAAAGTTGTACCAAGGTATAGGTACAAGTTTGGGTTGTACCATAGACCGATTTTTAGAAAGTGTAGGTACAACTTAAAGTTGTACCATGGTATAGGTACAAGTTTGGGTTGTACCATAGAAGGATTTTGAGAAAGTGTAGGTACAACTAAAAGTTGTACCATTAGTATAAGTACAATTTTGAGTTGTACCATAGAGGGATTTGTTAGAAAGTGTAGGTACAACATTAAGTTGTACTATAGTGTATAGGTACAATTTTTAGGAAAGTGTAGGTACAACTTTAAATTTAGTGTAAAGGTACAACTCTAGAAAGTGTAGGTACAATTTTGAGGAAACACGGCTTATCTCACGGCCGTGACATGACCCGTGAAAAGCAAAAGTAGTTTTCCTATCTCCAGACAATCACACGGCTTATTCTCACGCCCGTGAGAATTAACAGATGAGCCGTGAGAGGTACAGCATTCAATTCCAAAACACGGCTCATCTCACGGCCGTGATAATGTCGACGGCAACCCGTGAAACCCTCTGGGAAACTGAGAAGTGCGTTTTTACATCCACGGCCTATCTCACGGGCTATCTCACGGCCGTGATATTTCCAGAATTACATATCCAAAACCACGTCTTCTTTCACGGCCGTGGGATTTCCAGAATTGGCCGTGAGATTTCCAGAAATAGTCTGCACAGACATGCACCTGTACAACTAACCCTTGTACTTATTATAATGGTGCAAGTAACATAATATACTGTTTGTGAAAACTACAAGCTTATGAAAAGATGAGTCATAATGTTCTTTGAAGCTTGACACGAGCATTACATAGATCCTTCTCTAGTAACTGTACATCATATCAGATGAGATACCCTGTTAACAAAAAGTAAAAAGCAGTCAAAGCTTTACATTTGTCTTATAAAACAAACATCCATAACACGATTAAATTTGTCTAATTAATGCTTAAGTTTAGATGCATGTAGCCCACACTGGTGCATCATAATATTCTAATTGGAAAACATACAAGCACAAAAGCAAACACACATAGCTAAGTACTAAGGACTTTGGTTGGCTCATCTTCACTGCCCATCTTTCTCGTTAGTGTTCTCGTCCTCGTCTTTGTTTTCCTGGATTTGCTCATCTTCATTGTCCTCGCTAGAGTCACTGCTGTCTTCCTCATTGGTCCCTTTGACCTCTTGATTTTTTCCCTTGTTTTGGTCATCGCCATTGCCCTCGTCGTCCTCTTCACTGCTGTCTTCCTCATCGGTCCCTTTGTCCTCTTCAATGCTTTCCTTGTTTTGTTCCTCTCCTTTCTCCACTTGATTTTTTTCCTTGTTTTGGTCATCGCCATTGCCCTCGTCGTCGTCCTCTTCACTGCTGTCTTCCTCATCGTTCCCTTTGTCCTCTTCAATGCTTTCCTTGTTTTGTTCCTCTCCTTTCTCCTCTTGATTTTTTTCCTTGTTTTGGTCATCGCCATTGCCCTCGTCGTCGTCCTCTTCACTGCTGTCTTCCTCATTGGTGTCACTGTCCTCTTCACTGCTTTCCTTGTTTTGTTCCTCTCCTTTCTCCTCTTGATTTTTTTCCTTGTTTTGGTCATCGCCATTGTCCTCGTCGTCCTCCTCTTCACTGCTGTCTTCCTCATCGGTCCCTTTGACCTCTTCAATGCTTTCCTTGTTTTGTTCCTCTCCTTTCTCCTCTTGATTTTTTTCCTTGTTTTGGTCATCGCCATTGCCCTCGTCGTCGTCCTCTTCACTGCTGTCTTCCTCATCGTTCCCTTTGACCTCTTGATTTTTTCCCTTGTTTTGGTCATCGCCATTGCCCTCGTCGTCGTCCTCTTCACTGCTGTCTTCCTCATTGGTGTCATTGTCCTCTTCACTGCTTTCCTTGTTTTGTTCCTCTCCTATGTCCTCTTGATTTTTTTCCTTGTTTTGCTCATCGTCATTACCCTCGTCATCCTCTTCACTTCCCTCTTCATTGATCTCCTCGGTTGGCCTAGGAGATAGTTCCCAAGGTCTTGAGAATTGTTCGTAGTCAATCCTCAAGGACCTCATGATCTGATGGTTGCATTCGATGATGTAGCGTCGAGCTTCCTTCTCTCGATCGAGGCGGGAGAGAATGAGTGCATTTTGCTCCAGAATTTGGGCATTATGCCGACCCAATGCCTCAAAATGGGATATGTAGCTGTCGGTGGATGGTCCGGCTTGAGTCGTAGTTTGGTGATGTTGTGCAGGTTGTTCCGGAGTCTCCTCGACCATTTGCTGAACAACATGCTCCGATGCGTTTGCCTCATCTGTTGCAAGAGGTCGAGCAGGATGAGGGAGGCCAACAATGCCTACCACACCATTCTCCTTAACCACCAAACACAGACATGATCAATATCAGAAGCATTAGTTACATTTGCTCAATGTTCAAAAGGAACTAGATTAGTAGGCAATCCAAAACTTGCACAAAATCAATCCTAGATTGTTTGAATCCCGACTAGTTATGTTTTAGCATTCACTGTGAAAAGGAAAGTGTTGGTTGGAACATTTACCTTTGACAACAAATTTAGATCCGCAAGGTTTTTTTTGGGAGATTGGTTGAGTGGACTGGGCAATGGTGCAATGAGAACCCACCGGATCAATGCCAAAATGCCGAGCTAGCCTTGTGATGTAGGCACCTCCATGGATGGTCTTGATTTGTTTGTTGGAGGTGATCTTCTGTAGGGTTTTCAATATGACTATACCAAGATGAATTGGGGGATCTTTTACCATAGAGAGGAAAAAGTTCAAATCCCGCTTGGTCACACTCCCCGGGCTCCCCTCCCTAGCTGCCACAGAATGAGCGATAATGTTGTGGATGATACGCCACGGGGGAAGAAGA